AAAACGTCGACTGGAAAGACGGGCCGAACACTTCGAAGAACAGTTCAGCTGGCTTCCTGAAACCTGTGGAGAAAATGCACACTGGCGAATGGAATGTAAACCTTGATCACCCTTCGGAAGAAGAAATAAGGTACGAAATATCCGCACTAAAACGTACGAAGACACTAAGACTGAACAGTCTGTATCCAGCCCTCTTCCAAGAAGGCGGAAAATACCTGGTGACCCATCAAACAAAGCCTATCGATACCATATGGGACGAAGTGAAGGTGCCTGCAAAATGGGGCGTCGAAAGTTATCCGTATCTTCAAAAAGGGTACGCGGACGCCGTGTGAAAACCACCGTGGCATCAGTATGTTAGCAGTGGCACCGAAGATGCTCCCTGGCCTTATGCTTCCAAGGTTGACTGAACACAGGGAGGCAGATCCGTGAAAACCAAGCTGGGTTCCGTCCTGCAAGCGGATGCATCGATCATATCTTCACACTCCGACAAACTCTGGAACAGCGACACTGTTTCCAGCAGCCAACAATGGTTGTGTTTCTTGATCTGAAAGCTGTCTAGGACTCTGTGGACAGTCAGGCACTATGACAGTGTCTGTAGAGCAAACGCTTCCCCCATAAATTCTTGACCCTCCTTAAGGCGCTGTACGCCAACTCCCGTGTAAAGGTCTACGGGAAGCTCTCGCCTGAGTTCACCACATCAACTGGTGTCAGACAGGGCTGTCCTCCTCCACCTTTCCTCTTCAACTCCGTCATTGCTGCGATCATGGAAGACTCTAGTGCCTCTAGTGTCTGCGGGGTCGAAGTGTTCCCGGGGCGTCTGCCCACGGATATCGAATACGCAGACGGCATAGCTCTTCTGGGATCTGACCCCGTGGGCGAGATGGCCGAAGTGGTTAGAGCGCGGATTACTAACCTGAAGGTCCGCGGTTCGAATCCGACCTCCGCCACTCGACTTCCCCTGTCTAGGCTTGGGCAACCTGGCAGTATCCCAGCCCTCGTGCTCCCTTCGGGTGGCATGGCAGCTAGGCACCGGAAGGGTGCTACAGCTGAACGCTTTATCTTTATCTTTTTAATCTAAATAATTCTGCCTCACGGTTCGGCATGCGCTTCACGCCTGAAGTGTAATGTGCTGCTCTAAGACTGGGTGGGCTCGAACCCTAGCCTCATGCTTGCGGATGGACCGATTGAGGTAGTAGACAAATTTATTTATCTGGGCAGCTGTATCAATCCCGGTGGCCTCGCGAAGGATGATATTTTCATCCGGATTGGGAAGGCCAGAACAGCTTTTGTGAACCTGCGTCAATTGTGGCACAAGCGTGACATCAGCTTCTCTGTCAACGGTCGAGTTTGCAATGCTGCGGTGCGCTCCATATTACTATATGGATAAGAAACCTGGCTGCTGCACACCTAGGACGTCAAAAGACTCTTAGTGTTTGACCATCGATGTCTTCGGAGCATTACCCGAATCTGGTGAGAACACCGGATTAGCAAAGCTGAAGTTCGTCGAATGTTATTCGGGAAAAATAACTCACCCTCGATAAATGAACTGATCACACTGCAAAGGTTGCGCTGGCTTGGCCACGTGTTGCGTATGCGTCGACTTCCTCGAAGGACTCTTTTTGCACAACCACGTGAAGGGTGGAAGAGAGTCAGAGGCGGTCAAACAATGACTTGGCAGCGAAGTATAAAAGCCATTACCAGCAAACTCAGCTGCACTGGTCATTGCCATCTTCCTGGGTGGGGACCCCGAGACGGGCCATATCAATGGTTAGAGACATTGTCAGACATGGCCCAGTCATACCCTCAATGGCGCTCATGAGTCCAAGCTATTGCCTTCAAGGCATAGCTCCCTTCCCAATCCTCCCACTTGACAGTCCACCTACAGTGCCGTACTTATGCTCTAACTTATCGGCTCCCACCTCCAATGCGCAACTACCTACTCCACCTCCCCGAATCATCCGTGAACGAAACTGCGGCAGCTACAACCACTGTACTACAGGTACGCGGTTATTACAGCTGACCTTACCCCTCCCTCTGCCACACGCTTGACTGAAGACAGTGCAAGAAATCGGAGTTAATCGACGTCGATGTACGTGCTGCCAGTTTCTTTCCGAATCATCAAATTGAACATTTGGAGGTATGAGCACCTCAAAATGCTAGCAACAGGTCCCCTCTCTCATCCAATCTCTTCTGTTCTCTTCGCTCAAAGGCTTTTAATATAATATAAGCTTTGAGGTTGTACGGCAGTGAAGCACCTGCATCAGTACTGACGTTCTTGTTGCTGGTGATGAGGTCTCGTTGCCAGCACCAGATTAAACAAGCTATAGTTATGAGACAATAGTTGAAAATCTCAGTTTCGCTGCTCGCAGAGGCCCTATCTCACAGCCCAACAACAAAACAACCCGTACCGTAGGCTGGAAAAACATCACCTGTGATTCACGAGTATGCCACTTTGCCGCCACACATGTCGCAAATCAACAACGCCACCCAATCCTTGGATTCGTGCGCTGCCTTTACCTGTCACACTACAATCGGAACTAATCTATCTTCCAAGATAAGAAAAACTCTCCACAACCTCGAGTGCCTCTTAGTAGATTGAAAGTGGCGTATTTAGCGACTGCACGTCCAGGAGCATGACCACATATAAAGGGTGCAAGGTGCATGTCAAAGAACGAGGTAGCTGGTCCGTTTATCCAAAAACACTCATGTTTTCTTCCCCTCAAAGATAAGAGCGATGCCATCTGCATATCCCAGATCAACAAGGTTTCCATTAGCGGCTCTTTGAATAACGGGGTTGTGAAGATCTTTCAACGTACATCATCATTTCACTAATCAAAGAACTGAATAGGAATCGAAGAAATGGACCTCGAGATACAAGGATCTAAAACCGGCCCGGTCAGCTGACGACCGGAGTCCCGCATCTGCTATATGGAAAGTGATGGACAAGTTCACCCCACGGGTGATGGAGTAATATTGGGAAAACGGAAAGTATTGCGAAGATTGGAATGGTTTTCAGAAAAGAGGATCTTGCATTAGAACCTTGATATCATCCCGAGAAATGGGTGCAGTGGATCGATAGCGGACAGCGTAACGATATCTGGTCTGTTGACTTCAGCTAGGCTTCAAATAGACTTCCTTATTGGGAGTTATTGAGCAGTCTATCCTACTACAGACTTCAGGGAAGTGTTGGATGAGGGAGTTTCCGGTTGACAGGACAACTACACTCAGGACTGATAACGCATTCTCTGTGGGGTTTCGGGGGGATCAGTCCACAGCTGTGCACTGCTCTAAGTCTTTGTGAACAACCCTACAACATACCTTACTTTCTGATGTCTTGTACATGCTGAGAGCTTGAAAACACGAGTGCATGTCGCACCCGAAATGATATGCAGAATGCTTTCTGTATACCTTGCAAAATTGCAATCTAGTAGGGGCCTACCAATGAGCCCCAATGCTGGGTTTTTCTAGTCGAGAAATCACTTTATTGCAGTCTCTCATATAGGATGATACCTGCTAGGTAAGGTGTAGACGCAGAAAGACCCAGACACGATTCCATGCTTTGACCTTTAGTCCCCACCGGATTTTAACCGGATGGTAGGGGCCGCTACCGGAACGCTCTTTGTTCTTCGCATTCATTCAAGATCTACAGTCAGCAACGCCTCGCATCACCCGCACATCATTTATTTGGACAATTAAGAAGCATGGACAACCAGCTGCTGTGCCAGTTACAGGCACGAATCTCAGTTCACAGAAAAGGGGCGATGACTGGGCTCTAAATATACTGCGGTCAAATACCACAACCGGACGACCTCAAGAGGTCAAAACTCTACTAACTGGACTTTAGGTGGCACCTTGGAGGTCTCAAACGTAGGTGACTTATCTTCCGGGAAGAATTATTTAAGGGCAGCGAAGAGTACCAACATCAGAAGCCACAGACTGGAGCTGTTTAGAAGCCGACGAGAACGACTGCATATATTGGTCGCGCTCCCCACGAGGTTTGTGAATCTGCGGACTAGCCTTACAGTAGGTACTAGTGACACGACCACAAGAGATGGGGTTAAGGAGTCGCTTAACCAATTTCTTCTCACAAGAATGAAAGTACAGCAGCTACATTTAGCTGTCGATCCGAGGAACTTGGCCAGGGGTAAGACATAATGGAGGTCTTTAAACTCCCCTTGGTAGCACAAAGCGGTTACAGGACAGCTAAAGTCAGTTATTGGACGGTTATTTAACGACGTAACTTACAACTATCATGAAGTTCCGCTGCTGTCTTTATACACAGTACCAATACTTATCATATGAATTCAGCAGCTGCTAAATTCAGTCACCCTGCTTTTTTACCGTGAATCCCGGGGGATAATCAGGGTCTTATGAAATCCGGACGAGTAAACGCCGCTGAAGGCGAAGCGCCTGACAGGTCGGGATAGCAACTCTTGGGATTCTGACTGACAGGTACCACAGGAGATCTACATCCCATATTCCCCATATTTATGTTACTCATCGTCCGCAATATAACTTTCTTTTGATGCATAAGGCGAGTAAACTCAACACCGTACTGTAACAGAACCGAAACTCTCCTGATGATTTTAAATGCGCACCTAAGTTATTTCTATCTATTTCTTTCTTTCCCAGGTAGATTCCCATTCCCTGGACCTCGATATGAAAAAGGAACGCGTGACCTTCATCAATGACAACCCTTCTTCCGTTGGCTTGTTTTGCCAGACTGACGCTCGTCGGTTCGGACTTGTACACACATCCATTCTCGTTGTTCGCCCGTTCGTGGGGACGCCGCCCCTTTCGTTGTTTTGGAATATAGGTTCGTGTTCCGTCAGTGCTGTTCTTAGTTGTGTGTTTGGATCGCGTGCCGGTTGACAGAACATCTCCCGTTTCCGTGCATCCCTCGCCGTTTGTGTGTTCGCTATCATCCGCCCATTTACGTCCCGTTTCAACTCCACGCGGTTTCTCGTCGACTGTGCGATTTCGACCCATTACATTACGTTATGTCGGAAAGTGAGATCCACCCAGTAAACACAGTGCCACCGGTGGCTAACGGTGGCTATCGGCGGCTAGAGGTGGCTAAATTTTGCAACGTTATTACCACTGACAGGCATCACGCATACAATCCTGATATGGTAATTTTTGCATATATGCTTTCTAAAATTATGGAAAACAGGACGAATAAGTTATTGGACCCCTGGGTAAAAAGTGATTTTCAACACCGTTTTGTTTTAATGCACGGTCGATCAAATATGTCGTTTATTGCGCTAAGTCCGGTTCTCGTTAGCTGAGTCATTCTCCGCTTGTGCGCTGCTACATTTCGT